ATGTCAGATAATCTTCCTGATCTTCCTGCTTTGGAAGACACATTGATGTAGAACAATCTTCAACTATGTCACTTGTGCATGTGTGACAGCCCATAGCCACTGGAACCTGTAATCGGGTTTCCAGCTGTGCTGGTGCAGGTGGGCTATAGGGAGCCCATCACACATGCTCAAACTGGGCAGCTGTGTCACCATTCCAGTCCAGTGTTCTCAAGTTTTATCTTTAAGCAGAAGTCTAGATTTTTTTTTAAATTACTTTTGTCTTATGTGTATGAGTATATTGCCTGCATGTGTGTAAGTGCGCCCATGTCATGCAGTGCTCACGGAAGTCAAAAGAAGGTATCAGATCCCATGGAACTGGAGTTACAGATAATTGTTAGCTGCTATGTGGGTATTGGGTATAAACCTGGGACCTCTGTAAGAGTGGTCAGTGCTCTTAACTGCTAAGCTATCTCTCCAGTCCCAAGGAGTCTAGATTTTTATGTGCACCATCCCAATGATTAGCCACTGTCTGGCTTGTTTTACAAAACCCTGGGATGGACAATTAAAGCAGCCTGGGACTATTTCAAGGCCAGGGGGTTGCTCTGGACAGAGGAACCTGGATCACAGAGGTTTGTCCTCAGCGTCACTTGTCTGAATCCCCAAAGTAGTATTATCATGCTTCCTCAATATGCACAAGGCCACCTGTCCACATCAGAGGGTGAGAGAGTCAGGACCGCACCCACATGTTATGCTCCTTGGATGTTGCTCTGCTAATATAAAAACACAGCTGTTACTTCAAAGACAGTAAGAGTTTACTCAGGAGCCAAAGGTGAGTGACTGAGGCCCAGGAACATGGATTCAGGTTACCCCAGATACCATGTTCTAACATGGTGACAGTTTTATGTTTTTAGAACTGTAAGAAAGTCATAACTCAAAGCATTTTTAAATATGCTGGTGTGTCACAGAAACAGGGAGAGAGGATCTCTCCTCAGGCCTCAGATGCTGTCTAAAGACATTCCCAACCTTTGGGTTGGTAGAAGCTATGGGTCTATTTATACACTCCAAAAAGGATTTTTACCTGATAGTCACAGAATGTTAGGTCACACACAGATTTAGGAGACCAAGACAGTTCAAGATAATTTGGCTCTGGACCTGCAACATTCCAGCTCTCTGCAGTCACTGAAGTTCTAATCAGTCGATTAGCCTTGAAGAATAACACAGATGCAGCTTTTTCTTTCTGGTAACTTCCCTTTCACGTTTCCTAGTTTTTAATGTCTCCTCAGTACATGTCCTGGTAGACTGATACCAGTGCGATGGTCTGACTTTGTAATGTCCTCCAAGAGTTCATGCTTTGAGTGCTTGTTCCCCAGCTGGTTTAGGGAAGGCTATGAGACCTTTAAGAGGTGGGGGCCTGGCTGGCAGAAGTAGAGCACTGAGGGCAGGTCTTAGAAGGTATAGCCCAGCTCTAGTTCTGAACCCTAATTCTCTCTGCTTCCTGGTCTAGCTAGCTCAATTCATACTACTGCTGCAAAGCCTCTGCATCAAGCTGTCTAGTCCAGGACGGACTGAAATCTCTCAAAAACCAGGTGACTGAGACCTGGGCTACCTTTAGAAGGATAACACTTCTCTAACAAGCTCTGGCTGAATCAATGACCCCCAGTGAAGCTTTGGATGTGAGCCAAGCCTGACCTGACCCAGGCAGTTTGTAGGCAAAAATGCCTCAAAGTCACCCTGAGGGAGAAGGGAAAAAAGATAGTGTCAAAGACATCAAGCATTCAGGGAGTGGGAATAGTTAATGGATTTAGGATCAGGTCCAGTGATGACCTGCATGGAATGTAAGGCCTTTGTTGGAAACTGAAGATGATGGCTCGGCATGGTGAGGTATGCCTATAAAAACACAAGTGTGGAAACTGAAGCAGGAGGGTCATGAGATCAAGGCCAGCCTGGGCCACATAGAAAGAGCCTGTCTCAAAACTTTATTAATTAAAGATTATAGTGTATGGCTAGTTAAGGTGTTAGATATAAAACTTTGACTCAACTTTCTGTTTCAGTCACAGGTATATAGCCATTTGTAAGGTAACTCTCATCCCTCTGAGGTACGCAAGTCATTCTCATACAAACTAGTGAGGCGAACAAGGGAGATGGGCCCACTCTGATTCCAGGTCATGTCTCCAACAACCCTCCTGTAGAGGAGACTCAGGTCCCACTAGCTTGCACTCTCAGGATTGGGTTCCAAGGTGAGTGGACAGGTGTAGGAACACTGTTGGTGGGAGAGGTGAAACATTAGCCACCCAGCCTCAGGGCTCCTCTGATGAAGGAAGGTGAACAGGTGCTTGGACCCTAACCAACCCAGAACTTCCACCCACAAGAGAATCCCAGGTCTTTTAGAAACACACCTGGACACAGGCCACTGTGTCTCACTACCATCCAGTCAGATTCTCAAGCTCACAAAGGTAGGCATATGATTCCTCTCACATCTGGACACAGGCAGCAGCTGAGGGGATTGCTCAGGAATCTGAGGTCTCACATGAGAGAAAGGAGCCTTGTCACAGACAGAGTGTATTTTAAACTCCAAAGTTAGTTAAAGTCACTCCAAAGTTAGTTAAAAACATACAGACCACTGAAGGTGTCCTTTGATAAATGAAACCTCTCAATATGAACTCACAAGTCTCAGAGTCTGACCACAGGTGGGACCCAAGAGAATGCCAGTGCTCAGGGCGTTGAATCTGCTGGGGCGGTCTGGTGCTGTTGAGCCTGGCCTAGTTGCCCGGAGTGCTCGGCGTCAGAGAATGGCCTTGATCCAAAACCTGACTGCTGTCATTTGGACCTGGCGTGTCCCTCAACAGCCCATGTGTGGTGGCTTTGTTGCTAGGCTGTTGGATAAACCCTCAGAGACTGAGGAAAATGTGAGTCCCTGCTCCCTGGTCCTCATTTCCTGCTCATGAGGTCAACATCTTTTGCTTTATCCTATGTTCCTCTCATGATATGCTACCTCAAAGCATCAGGGCCAACTGGTCAGGGCTTAAATCCTCCGAGACTGTGAGCCCCAATAAACCTTTTCTTTTATAAACTAATTGTGTTGGGTATTTGTTGCAGTAATAGAAAGCTGCTAAACACATTTTCTGCCCTAGTTTCAGATGATATCTATACCAGTTCATTTTTATTGTCGACTTGACACAAACTAGAGTCACCTGAAAAGAGGAAATCTCAGCTGAAGAATGGCTTCCATCAGATTGGCCTGTTAGTCATGCCTATGGGGCATTTTCTTGATTGTTAATTGATGAAGGAGGGCCCAGCCCTCTGTGGGCAGCACCATCCCTAAGCAGGTGGCCTCCTCCTGGAGCTCCTGCCCTGGCTTCCCTGGATGATGGACTGTAACCTGTAAGCTGAAATAGACACCTCAACCCCAAGTTGTTCTTGGTTATGGTGCTTATCATAGCAACAGAAAGTAAACTAGAACTGGCATGTCCCTGAGTGCTTGCTACCAGCCTCCCAGCCCCTCTTCACACACTTCCTGACTGACCTATTCCCAGTTTTACCAACGGACAACACTGGGCCCATTGACACCTTGGCTTTGTTTCCAGACTGCTCACCTCCTTTTCTTAGCTGGCTTACTTCTGCTCCAGATTTGCTTTGTAGACGCATTTCGCCACACAAGTCTGCCTTGGGAGTGGTAGCTAGTTGACTGTACTAACCTGTTTAGCTTTTGGGGGGACAGTTAATTTGGCTAGCCATAGGACCATAGAAAGGCAGTTTTTAACTATGTCGCTGAGTTTGTGTTCTCAATTAGCTTTAGCTTGCTGTGTAAGTGGCCACAGACAAAGTTGAATCCCCTTCTCTCTTTTGGCTTGATTCTTACTTGTGTTACTTAAAGGACATTTATAGAATGTTTTGTAGAGATTTTATAGGGACCTGATGAGAAGTCTAAGCCAGTAAATCACTTGCCTCACAAGTATGAGGATCTGAGTTTGATCCCCAAACCCATGTAAAATACCAGTCATGGTGGTGTATATTTATAATCCTAGTGATGTTGAGGTGAGAGGCAGAGACAGGTGGGTACCTGGCAGCTCACTGGCCAGCTAGTCTAGTCTACTTGGCAATGAGAGAACCTATCTCAAACAAAAGGGGGAAAGTGCCTGAGGAATGACACCTGATGTTGTCCTCTCACCTCCACACACACCTGCACATACATGCACCTGTGCACTCACACATATGTACACACATGCACACACACAGAGTAACATGCACAGACACATATATATGACAAAAGAAATTCTGTAAGGATTTAAGGAAGAGGGACGTGAAGTTTCTCATTGGTCTAGCAACCGAGTGACATCCCATCAGGGAACACACTCACCATGACCACCCTTATCTAACAATGGTCTCTTGGGTCAGGCATAGCTGGGCATCATTTCTTTGCATACAAAAGTAGACATTTTAACACCCCCCTAGGAAGGTTTAAGTGGTGTGACCTGCATGTCTGGTGAGTCTCACTTAGGAGACGCTGATTTCTTTGCTCTTTCTGACCCTAGAATGTGCTCAATGGCGCTGTTGATAAATGTTCTTGAAACAAAAGCTCTGAAGTAATTGTGTTGGACAGCTTCAGTTGTCAACTTGACACACCTGGGAGGAGGGAACCTCAATCAGAGAATCTCCTGTGGGCATGCCTGTGAGGCATTGTCTTGATTGTTGAGTGCTGTGGATGGGTCCAGCTCAATGTGGGCAGTGCCACCCCTGGGTAGATGGTCCTAGGTTATTCAAAAAGGCAGGCCAAGCAGAGACCAGGAGCAGCATTTCTTCTCTGTCTGTGCTTCAGGTCCTGCCCTCAGCCTTCTACCCTGAGGCCTGCCCTGGCTTCCCTCAATGATGAACTGTAATTGGGACATGTTATCCAAGTAAACCCTTGCTGGTTTTGGTGAGAATCATAGCATTAGAAAGGTAACTAGGACAGCAACTTGAAGCCCTTTTGTGTATGAGACAGTCTCACTGCCTTTACAATTGGTGACAAGCCCTCTCCCATCATGACTGACAAGCCTTCTCCAATCTTGAGTGAAAAGCCATCTCCCATCATGACTGAGAAGCCCTCTCCAATCTCGAGTGACAAGCCATCTCCCATCATGACTGAGAAACCCTCTCCAATCTCGAGTGACAAGCCGTCTCCCATCATGACTGAGAAGCCCTCTCCAATCTCAAGTGATAAACCCTCTCCCATCATGACTGAGAAGCCCTCTCCAATCTTGAGTGACAAGCCGACTCCCATCATGACTGAGAAGCCCTCTCCAATCTTGAGTGACAAGCCCTCTCCCATCATGACTGAGAAGCCCTCTCCAATCTTGAGTGACAAGCCGTCTCCCATCGTGACTGAGAAGCCCTCTCCAATCTTGAGTGACAAGCCGTCTCCCATCGTGACTGAGAAGCCCTCTCCAATCTGGAGTGACAAGCCGTCTCCCCTCGTGACTGAGAAGCCCTCTCCAATCTGGAGTGACAAGCCGTCTCCCCTCGTGACTGAGAAGCCCTCTCCAATCTTGAGTGACAAGCCGTCTCCCCTCGTGACTGAGAAGCCCTCTCCAATCTGGAGTGACAAGCCGTCTCCCCTCGTGACTGAGAAGCCCTCTCCAATCTGGAGTGACAAGCCGTCTCCCCTCGTGACTGAGAAGCCCTCTCCAATCTGGAGTGACAAGCCGTCTCCCCTCGTGACTGAGAAGCCCTCTCCAATCTTGAGTGACAAGCCGTCTCCCATCGTGACTGAGAAGCCCTCTCCAATCTTGAGTGACAAGCCGTCTCCCATCGTGACTGAGAAGCCCTCTCCAATCTTGAGTAACAAGCCCTCTCCCATCATGATCATGATTCCTCCTACTAGCTGCTGCACTCAGATCTGCTCAGGTGGGGGAGACCTTTCCTAGCTCTCCGCTGAGCCATCATTCACACACACACACACACACACACACACACACACACACACACACACACGGCATCCCCAAGGCCATGACCACCAAGACAAGGGGATAAAACAGGCAATACCTGGCACTGAACAAATATCATCTCCCAGAGTACTTGTCTCTGGAATAATGATGCTTGCACATATAGAGTAGAGGGATGGAAACATTCAGGACCAGATACTGGAAACTAAACAACCGAAAGGTGGTCCTTGGACCTACAGACAGCTCTATTATGTCTAGACAGGGAGAAAAAGAGAAAGTGCTGATGTGTGGAGCTTTTAGTAATGGACAGACAATAAGATATTCTCCATGTTGTTTAAAACATTCAGTTCTGACAGCTGGGGAGATGGCTCAGTTAGCAAAGTGTTTCCTGTGCAAACATGAAGACCTGAGTTCAGATCCCCACCACCCAGGTAAAAATCTGGGCAAGGCAATGTGTGCCTATAATCCCAGTGGTGGGGAGGTGGAGACTGGAGGATCTACAGGGCTTGCTGACCAGATATTCTAGCTCAGTCAAGGAGCTCCAGGTTCAGGGAGAGACCGTGCCTTAAAAACTAAGGTTGAGAGTGATTGAGGCTGACACCTAATGTTGACTTCAGGCCTCCACACATGTGCACATGTACCCCCAACATATATACACAGACAGGTACAACACACACCCCTACACACACACACACACCCCAAGACCTAGGTTTTCAATCATGAAAGTATGGAGGGTCAGCACCTTAGGTGGTCCTCTGGGGGGTGAGCACTTGGGCTGTGATAGCGTGTTTCACCTTGCTCCTTAGCCCTAACTGGGGCATCCTGATGTGCAGTTCCTGGGGTACTAGGTTCCTGGGAGTGTGGAGTTCCAGAACAGAGTTATGTTTGTAAACAATGAGCATAGATTCTTTATGGGGGGCCTGATTATTATGAATGATATACTTCAAAGAAGGAAAATGTTAATCACTTTGTAACCATTAAGTATCTCAGTGAAGCGGTGATGGAGACAGTCATGAACCAAGTGGAGGAGAAATCTGTCTTTGGCATGAATTTGTTACATCCTCCTGCCTCTTAGTGTAATAGTCTCTCTTAGGTGAAACCCACCACACAGCCCCACAGGAGGCCGCTGGTCACCCCATGCTGCTCTGAGCCATTGAGGGTCCTTCTCTTAATGTCCCACACCAGTCATGTGTCACCCATCTTGCACCTCAAGACATAAAGGGGAGGTTGCAGTGAATTTGCTTTGAATTGTGTTTTGAATCATTTGCAGCATTTAGGAATTCATATAAACATATGTTTTCAGCTGCTCTTAACCTTTGAAAGATTTGGCAACACTGTGGAAAATGTTAGCAACATTTGGCTGGAGCTAAGGAGTGGCTGTTCCTTTCAGATCCCTGTTGCTGTTTAGTTTTCCATGGTCCCCTTCCCTCCCTACTGTTTTCTTCTTACAGTGGCCACGTTTATAGTCAGTTAGCTGCATTTGTTCACGCAAATAACCTGCCTGATCTTGTAGGTACCTGGTTTGCAGTTTCTACTTTAGATCACCCAAGCTTCCTCCTTCACCACCTTCCATTGCTATAATGAAATAACCGAGGCTAGGTAACCTAAAAGAAAAAAAAAACACGTTTATTAAAACTTACAATTTTAGAGGTTGAAAGTCAAAGATTAGGGGAAATCCTCTTGATCTGGCAACTGGTGGGGATCCCTTGGCTGGGTCACCACAGGGCAGGTGACAGCCTTGCAGAAGCACATGTGAAAGAAAGCACATAGCAAGACGGGAGTTCGAAGTCTGACTCAAGGGCCATGCAAGCTCTTCTTTGTTGCCTGGCTTTGTTTATTTATTTATTTTTTTTGAGACAAGATCTTAGTCTGAGACCAGGATAACTCGGAATTCACTCCATAGCCCAGGTTGGCCTTGAACTTCTTCTGCATCCACCTCTCAAGTATTGGGAGCCACCACACCCAGCTCTAGGCCTGCTTTTTTTTTTTTTTTTTTTTTTTTTTTTTAAATAACAACTCTCCCAAGACAACTAATCAGGGTCCCAGGAGAATTACATTAAGTCCTTCCCAGGGAAGGGCCCTCAATCAGCCAATCACTCCCCCCAGTTCTCACTTCTTAGAGGCTCTGCCACCTCTTAACACCACTCCGGGGACTAAGATGTAAACACAAGAAAGCTTCAGGACCTAAACCTCAAGCTATTTTGTTTTAATGATGACCAGAAGAGCAAACTCCCAGAATGCAACCAGTGTGTGAGGGGCTATCTTTATCAGTTAATTCTGTCCACAGTAAAACAGTTTAGCAACCAGTCATGTCTTAGTAGCATACGATAGCAGTTATTTAATTAGTTCAGGTGCTCAGCCCATAGGGTGAAAGTCAGCTCCAAGATGGGCTCTCATTCAGGTAGGCCTGAGGGGCTCTGTACCCTAGACTTCTCCTGTTCTTCCTGGGCTAGATGGCTATCCTGGGCACATTCTTGCCACGGGGATGGCAGAGGTACTAGAGAGAAAGCCCAATCAGCATACATTTGTTTCTGCCTCCTTCTGGGGTCCAAAAGCCATATGAGCAAAGCCCCAGTCAAAGGCTGGGAGAGTATTTCTGTCCAAACTGTTGGGCACGGCAAAACTGCAGGGCATGTGTACAGTAAAGGGCTGTCCTTGGCCTTTGACTACCAGCAGGTGATTAATGGGCCCCTGGAATCTCATTACGTGGCAGATGTGACTGGCTGGGGACTCTGGTCACTGGACAGAGTAATCATGTGGCTTATGATGGCAGCTTTTAGTGGAAAAGGTAGTGTCAGTTATACCTTTGAAGAGACTCAAAACTAAAGGTTGGCCATGTGGGCAGAATGTGCTTGAACTCCCCTAACAATGCTGGACTCCAAGGCCTGAGTGAGCTTCCTGGTTGGTGGCATTCTGAGCATATTGTCTTGCAACATGACCAATGGGAGACAATGCTATCCATGACGCCACAGGCAGAGGACACTTGGAGTCCATGTTCTCTCCTCTCCTGGACTTTGTCCTGTGCAAACCTTCCTTAGCTCTATCCTCTAATCTGTACCCTTTCTGTGGGAGAAACTGGAATTGTTAGTGCAATGGCTTTCAGTGCCCTGGGAGTCCTTTCAGTGAATTAGTGAACACCAGGTTGGGTTTGAGGAACCCCTCAAACGTGAATTGATGTTCAAAGTGAGGGTCATGTTGTATGAATTGCTCCTTTATTTTTTAGGTGATCTTAATTCACACACAGAAACAAGGAAGGACGAACTTGTTAGGTAAATTGTCACAACATGCCCCCTTACTCATTTTCCTATCCATCATTCATTGAGCATCTACCACATGCCCAGTGCTAGGATCTGAACTAGAAATGAAGAAGACAGATCCTCAAGTGCTAGTGGAGACAAAAGACACATGAGTAGACCAACGTGTGAGATTATGTCAGATGTTAAGAAGTGTGGCTGCATTTGCAAACACAGCTAGGAATTAGCTGAGATCAGTTCTTCATGTGGGGTACTTAAGAATGACACTTCTGGGTCTGGAGAGATGGCTCAGTGCTTCAGAGTGCTTGCTGCTCTTCCAGAACACCCCAGTTCGGCTCCCAGCACCAACATTAGGTGGCTCACAACCACTTGGAGCTCCAGCTCCAGGGGATTCAACTCTCTCTTCTGTCCTCTACAGGTATCTGAATGCAAGTGGACACCATATGCACACACACACACACACACACACACAGAGAGAGAGAGAGAGAGAGAGAGAGAGAATAAAAAAATTTTAAAGAAGAAAAAGAAAGATACTCCTTGAAAAGTAACATTTAAACAGACTTGAAAGAGAAAACTGGGTTGTGATTCAGGACAAGAAGATTCTAGAGGGAGGGGCAAACAAGTCCAAAGAGCATGTGACCAGGAGACCCTGGTACATACATGCACAGTGTCAATATACACAGGCATTCACGCATTGGAGAAGTCTCTTCGCCCCGTTCTTGGCAGACTGTGTGAACCTGTGGAGAATCCAGGACAAAGGCAAGCCTTTCCTCCCACAGGCTCAGGCCCAGACCAGTTTCTCTGTATTCTGTTCCTCTGTGACTAAGTGGGATCGTTTCTTTCTCATGTTCAACCCTGGAATCATTTCATTACCAGCTTCTTCAGAGGACAAACCACATCTCTAAATGTTATTAGTTTCTCAAGAAAAGAAAAAAAAAAGCCAAAAACACCAGAAATAAAAGAGTTATTTCTGCTCATTTATTTGGTCCATTCAGTTAATAAATAAGCTCCCACCTGGAAAGTACAGGATGACTAAGAAGTATCCCCAAGGGAAAGAACCTAGTGGGGAAATTTGACTAAAAATCCTAGCTTATAAGCTCATGCCCCCCGGCTTTCCTTTTAGCTTCTGGTTGTCAAGGCCCCTCAGGTATCCAGGGGTCAGCCCTGCTGGGGAAGTGTGCTCCTGGAGGGTTCTGGTGAAGTTGCTAGGCCTTGAGGGAAGACCTTGTGGCCAGTGGATAAGAGCTCACCACATAGGGCTGCTTGGGGGCCTGAGGCCAAAGACGCAGTAGCTTTGTGGGTCTAACTTAGTGTTTTTTGTACCCCTGTAAAGAGGGCTCAGAAAGCACACTTGGGGCAAAAGGGGACTTCCCTCCTGTAGGACTTCCTCACCCTTCAGGCTAGTCAGTCCAGGAGGCAAAAGAGAAGAAATAGATGCAAAGGGATGTAGCCGTGGGTGTTTCCCCCCAGTGGCCAGCAGCCCTCCCAGAAGTGCTCCCTGACAGCCTCAAGCCCTATTTGCATATTTGTGAGCTCAGCATCTGTGGACTTCTGAGCATCATCCCACACCCATACGTGTCCCTTCAGTGGGACTTTTTCTTAAAGACCATGTCTCTCTCGTTTCCTTTTTCTCCTTGAGAAACCAGCTCCCCTACTCCTCTACTCCCTTCCGTGATGTTCAGTGAACACTTAACAGTGAATTCAAACTTCCTCCTCTCTACACTCTAA